CTCATTCTCTGCATATCAATGTTTGGAAACGTCAACACTGAACTTAGTGCACTGTAGCCGAGTGAGCTCAGCCCAGCTTGGTAACTCTGAAGTCCTGCAGACCAGGCAAGAGAGAGTGTCTTCACGGAGTTCTCATGTATATACATGCACAAGGCCAGTGCACTGCCTGCCACGGAGCCGGCACACTCCCTCACTGCAGCAAGCATAGCCCTTGGCGTGAAGGGAAACCCATATGAGAGAGTGTGGAGGTAGTTTGGCAATAGGCTTGGAACCTGTCAGGCAAGCCCTGGAGTGCAGAGCCTGGCTCATGGCCTCCTGTGTTGAAACTATAATGCAACTCCACTGGAGGCTGTGAAGTTAAAGGAAGAACTCTCTTTTGTTGTTGTTGTTACTAAAGTAGAGCTTTAAAAAGAGTAGAGAAGTGGTATAAAAATGATAGTAAGTTTATCTATTCTAAAAAATGGCTGTCAGACCAGCAAGTGGTATGTAGGTTGAGGCAGCTAGATCCCACACAGTTGGCTGTGTATGCAAGTCCCAGACCTGGTGGCTTGAAAAACACACTGGATATGTGTGTTGTGTGTGTGCCTGACATTCTGAGAGTAGAATGGAGGAGAAGTGATTACGGTATGACCAACTCCCTGAGGGTGATTTCTTACTCTCTTTCCCTCTCTCTCTCTGTCTCTCTGTCTCTCTCCAAGGAGCACATGTGCCCTAAAACAAACTGTCTATACACATAATGATCTCACAAGCCAACCTTATGAAGTTCTGACAAAAAGTATGTTCTGAATAAGAAAGTCACAAGCGGGACCAGCAGATGGCATAATGATTACGTCACTGGACTCCCATGTAGTTGACTGCAATTCGAGTCCTGGGCCAGCAGTTTAAAACTCACACTGGGTACATGTGCATGCATGCCTAAGATTCCAAAAGGAGAATGGAGGAGAAGGGACTCTGGCGTGGCTATCAATCTGGGAGGGGAGGGTGATCTCTTGCTTGCTTTCTGTCTCTCTCTGTCTCTCTGGTGAGTATATGTGCCCTATAGCAAAAATCTCTAAAGAAAAAAAAAAAGGGAAAAAGAAAGAAAGCCAAAAGAAAAAGTCTGTAGTTTCGAGATTGCTCCCAGAAAGCATCGAGGGCTGGGCAGGCATTGGCTTGCTGAGTGATCCAGCTGAAGAACCTCATGAAAATCAATGACTGGTGAGCTGAGCCCTTGTACTTGCATAACCATGGACTCAGAAGCCTTTTCATGGCACCTAACAGCTGTCGGAGAACCAAACACTCAGTTTCACAAGCATTACTCAGGAAAGATTTGGCTTGACATCCATTCTGTGAAAAAACCTTGACAGTGTGAATTGAATACAAATTTAATATGCTGTAAAGTTTAAAGAAACATTAGTTTTCATCCATGGAATCAAATATCTAGTCCTGTTGTAGCTGATCTATTCAAACCACACTTAAAGAGCTGTAATAAATCCTGGTCATTTTAAGAAAGATATTAGAAATTGAAATCAATGAGACCCTATGATTTGATTCAAAGTAGATGAGTATAGAAGACTTAATGTTGAACAAAGTGATCCAGCCTTTGAAAGATACACACTGTATATCCCCACTCAATTTGCACTGAATATCTGTACTCTATGGCAGAAATGAAAAGATCTGAAGATTTGCTAGTAGAGAGGGTAAGTGTAGAAACCAGAAACTGTAAGGGAGGAGAAAGGGTGGCAAAGAGTGGGAGGTAGAGGGTCGGTGTGAGGGGCAAAGGGAAGAAACATTTAATAGACAAAAAATATATAATTGATAAATTTATATAGTGTACATCATGAAGGAGACTTTATGTAAAATATGAAAAGTATATAGAAAGAAATAAAAAATAAAATTAGAGTTGGTTCCTAGGAAGGCAGTCAAGAAGAATCTTAGAATCATGATATGGGAAATGGTTAAAAATTAAGAAGTGACAGCTGTCCAGTTTAACCTGATAAGAAAGCTAAGGAAGAATGTTAGTTATCTTCAGATATGCAAAGCCTGGATTGATGCAGAGCCTTGCAAACAAAATCTGAAGTTTTATCTGTTGAATAAACAGATGAAAAGAGAGTAGGTGTGTGTGTACATATGTTGTTTTGTATATATGTATGTATGTGTGTGTATTTTGTGTGTCTGTAGGAGGAGTGTATGTGTGTTATATGTTGTTTTCTAGGGAAGAACGAGAACATATGGTAAAAATTACAAGAATAAAGGTAGATTTAAAATAAGCTATTGGGACCAGCAGTTAGCATAATGGCTATGTCGCTGGGCTCCCATGTAGTCGATTGCTGTTCAAGTCCCGGACCTGGTGGCTTAAACTCATGCCAGGCGCGTGTGTGTGCACGCCCAAGATCCTGAGAGGAGAATGGAGGAGAAGGGATTGCGGCATGGCCATACCCTGGGGGGGCGGGGGGTGTGTGTGATTTCTCGCTTTCCCCTGCCTCTCTCTGTCTTTCGGGTGAGCACATGCCCCATATAGCAAAAAACCTCTCAAAAAAAAAAAGCTGTTATTGGTTGTAACAATCGGTGCTAAGGAAGGACAGGGCTTTTAAACCAGACTGAGAAGAATTCAACAAGAAGCTCAAGGACCCTATGTTAGGAATTTATAAAAAGAATGTTTATATCCAATCATGAACCAGACTCATAGCCTAAAATGAAAAGCTAATTGCTTTGAAGTTAGAAATTTCTCTACCAGTCTTACAGCTAGATGTGGCCTTTGATTAAGCTGTCGCCCATGGAAACTAAGCACATTGGTATGTAAACTTCCTTAAAAGGAAATCTCCCATCTATCCTTTCTCTTTCTTCCCTCTTTCTTTGAGCTAGAAGCCAGTCACTACTGGTAAGTCAAATTGGATCTTGTGATGACAGAATTATATCTATTAGCTGTGTGACTTTAGATAGGATACCTACCCTCTAAGCATTTGTGTTTCCATCTGTTAAATGGAATTTAAATGATTTTTAAAAACTCATGTTGAAATGTGAGAATTAATGGAGCCAATGAATGTAAAGTTCTAGAACAAACTCTGAGTAGATATTAGGTGACTTCTAGGTAAGATGGCATCCACATTCTCTTCTAACTGTGACTAAAACTTTGTTCTGAGCGTCTACTGTGTACCAGAGACTGTGCTAAGTATTTTCATGTTACTGCATTGACTATTTAGGTCCCACATGGAAGTTTTAGCCACTCTATTTATTTAGTTTTTAATTGCCAGAGGGCACGTGTGCTCACTGGAGAGACAGAAAGAGGAAGAAAGTATTCCCTAATGGGATCTGACCATGCCACAATCTTGTCTTCATTTCTCCATCCCGTTGGGATTTGGGGCCCCTATGAAAACATGCCTGGCATGTTTTTTATACCACAGGGCCAAGATTCAAACGGCAATCAGCCATGTGGAATCTGGCTCCCTTAACCACCAGGCTATGGGGCTGGCCCAGGTAAAGGTCATTCTTCATTGGACTGTCATTCTCCTTGACACCTGCCTTTGGAAGGAACATTTAAGGCACAGTGGGGAGGAGAGGAGATATCTGTCTTTGTCCATTATTGCATTGCTTATAGAGGTACCTGAGACTGACTGAATTTAAGAAAACAGAGGTTTATTTAACTCAGGATTCTAGCCATGTGAAAGATCCAACGTAAAATGGCAGAAGGCTGGACTTTAAGTGAAGCAGCTGTCTATACGTTTCTACCTGTTCTGGTCTCCTTTCCCCTCTTTTAAACCCACCAGAACTCAATATAAGAGCCCTACCCTAATGACCTTATTACACCCAGGCACCCTCATGTAACACTGTGAAGGGAATAAGTTTTTATTTACAAATACAACCAAGTCCTAACACATGGCTTTTGGGGGGACATCCAAACTATAGCAATTCTTGTCCAGTCCTATCAGTCCTCAGCCTTGACTGGCACTGGAGAGATCAATGTTGTGTACTTTGAAGAGTGGATGCCATCAGCGGTTGGGCAATTGTGTCAGAGTCCACAGTGGATCGGCTCTAGGTATTTGCCAGCCCTAGACTTATTCTGTAAGAGTGCACAGCTTTTTTTTTTTTTTTTTTTTGAACCTAAGGTTTTTACTGTCGAATGCATGCACTTGCCAGAGAGAAACAGTGAGAGGAAAAGTGAGAAATCACCCCCTAGGGGCAATGGCCACATTGCGAGCCCTCTTCCTACATCCTCCTCTTGGGATCCTGGGCATGCATACACACATGCCTGGTGTGAGTTCAAGTCGCCACGTCTGGGACTCAAACTGCGGTTGACCTTGTGAGAGTCCAGCGCTATAACCACCATGCCACCTGCCAGCCCCAAGATTGCATAGCTTTAAAAATGAAATATTCTTGGGACCAGCAGGTGGCGTGGTGGTTAAGGTTATGGACACTTCCATGTGGCTGGACTATGATTCCAGTCCTGGGCCTGGTGGCTTGCTTTTTCACTTTCCCTCTCTCTCTCTCTGTACCTCTGTCTGGTCAAATTAAAATAATGAATAAATAAAATTAAATAAATAATTCTTTAAAAGAAAAAAAATGAAGTATTCCTTGCAGATATATAAGTCATGATAAGATTTTTCTTTTTCTTTCTTTTTTTGACTTTCTGTAAGATATTTATTTTTGTGAACACAGGATACTTAGACACTTTCATAGGGTTATATTTGCCCATCAGGTATCATTTTCCTCAATTATGAATTCTGCTATGGTAGGTTTTGTGAACACGATCTTCATAGTTTGTTCTCCGGGGTGGAAAGATTTTTCTTTTTCTTGAGGAATTGGACAGTCTGGTTACTCTGAACCCATGTTCTCCCAGGCAGCAGCCCACCAGGAGCTGCTTTGGGGGGGATGAGAGTCCTCACACCGCCTCTACCGCTTTTTCATTCCCCTTGAGTAGGTTAACATGCAGCATCTCATGCATCATTTGTATTAAAAATAGTAAAAACACCTGGGAAAAGTGATTTTTTTTTTCTGACAATGTCTTTTTCCCTCTTCTCTAGTATGTGATTGCAATGGGAAATCCAGGCAATGCATCTTCGACCAGGAGCTCCACCGACGGACAGGCCATGGGTTCCGCTGCCTCAACTGTGAAGACAACACTGCCGGCCTGCACTGCGAGAGGTGCCAGGAGGGCTTTTACCGGCACCGAGAGAGAGACCGCTGTTTGCCCTGCAACTGTAATTCCAAAGGTAACTAAACCAAGGGAAAAAGAAGATGGAGAGTAAGATGGGAGAGAAGGGGAAACGAGGGGGAGGGAGAAGGAAGATGGAGAGAGGATCAAGCAGGCCGAGAGAGAGTTGATGAGCTTCAGGGACAATTAGGAAATCTACCAGATGCTGGTCTTTTTTTTTTTTACCCCCCTAAGTTTATTTACTTCTCCTATGGAGGAGCAGGCACCCCTAAGAAGTTAATTATCCCATGATCCCACCCCCAGTCCCAGCCAGCCAGGGTCATGGGCATGCACACGCACACCTAGTGTCACAAGGAGACCTTGGGACGAGAACCCAGGACCTTCCCATGTGTCCCCGGCATTGCATGGTATTGATTACTGCTACACCAATGCATCCAGTTGACACTGGTCTTTTCAGCAATTTCATTCTGAAAGGAAATGTGTTTTTCTTAAGTCAGGGGTTGGTGAAACCAGCTGGGGTCTTTAGGGCATGATGGTTTGCCTTCTGTCCAGAGTACCTACAGTCACATTATTAACTTTTCCAGGCAGGTGACAGTCTGACCCAGGGACAGAGGAGGTTTAGTCTTTTCTAGTGATAGTCTTCATATCGATAACCAACCCCTTGTCCAATCTCTTGAGAAGTAGGGAGTTTGCAAGATCTGTTTCTGGTGCTGTGCGAGATGCTAGTAGTACAAAGGAGACAGGTAAATAGGAAGGTTAGAGTCTTCCACGGAGTTAAGAACAAAAACAAAAACAAAAACAAAAACAAAAAACAAATGGCGGTGGGGAGCCTGCAGTGGTGGGGAAGGTGGCGGTCCAGAGCCTCCGGCTGGAGTATCTGCAGATCCTGCCGGTCTGCTGCGCCTACACCACTGCCTGCATCCTCACCACCACCGCTGTGTTGGAATTGATCACACCTTTTCAGTTGTACTTCAATCCTGAATTAGTCTTTAAATATTTTCAACTATGGAAGTTAATCACCAATTTCTTGTTTTTTGGGGGGGGCCAGTTGGATTCAATTTCTCATTTAATATGATTTTTCTATACTGTTGTTGTCGAATGCTAGAAGAAGGCTCTTTCTGTGGTCGAATTGCAGACTTTGTATTTATGTGCCTTTTTGGTGGGTTCTTAATGATTATATCCTTCAACAAATAGAATAAATATAGGAAAATGTTAAAGAACACTGTCTCTTCCTAAAGGTTTTCATCTGCCTCCCACCACTCACTAGATATTCTAAAGAGATAAAAGTGGACCTCCAGATTTTAGCTTCAGGGCCCTACATTTATTTTACAGCACTTTTCTTTCTTTCTTTCTTTCTTTCTTTCTTTCTTTCTTTCTTTCTTTCTTTCTTTC